CTTTCACAGGGTGATGAAAGCTTAAATACAGAAAAATCTGACTAGATGGCTAAGCCTGTACCCCTGAACAGTCCCTTATGTTTATTTTCTGGTTATCTCTTATTTGAAATAAAAATGTTACCCATGTGTCAAAATGATGAGTACCATAGCAGGGAGAGGCTACAGAGAAGTGATGTATTAGTCATGGTGACAATTCCATGCGCAGAAAAATTGGATAGATGGGAATGTCCGAAGAGGACACAAACAAGAAGGCACATGGCACTCATGTAATACCAGAAAGAGAGATGAGTTTATGACAGAGAAAGAAATCAGTTTAGAACTTGTTCACCAGGTTGTCTTCTGTCCTGGTAGTAGACCACGTTACCTCATTGTTACTTAATGACATGGTTGCCAAAAGCCTGCTAAACTGATGAATAAATGAAGCTTAAATAATACACAAATGAAAGGATCTGCAAGTGCACAGGGAGTACATAAGGCATCTGCAATTTCAGTAAATAAAGTTCCTTGCCTAGGGAACATAAGCCTGGCTCTGTTTCCTGGAGCTCCAGAGCAGTTTCCCTGCTGGCAGAATAACCCATAACTATTTAAATGGTGTTTTTGTGGTGCCTGTCTTTGAAGCATCTGGCATCAAATACCACAATACCAGCTAGTTGTTGGGCGGAGGGTAACTGCAGAGGAACATACCGCGTGGGAAATTCTGCCCAGGGTAGAACAGACCCTCATCCCTTCATCTCTTACATGGCATGGTCTCCTGCTGGTACCTGCACAGGGCTTTTTTTTAAGGAATATGTGAATGTCATCGGGTTGTAAAGTAAAAGTTTGAGAGAGGTTTATTTCCTTGGGTGAATGATAGAGTACATGAATAAGAATACAGGAAGACAGATGTTGGGCTGTGGGTAGGGTGGAAAATTTTGGAAGGATTGGCAGAACAGTGATTATTATTCAGCATTATTAATTCATTATTTGCTTGAGTTTAGGGAGATTTAATGAGTAACTGTTGTAACTGTGTTCTTAAGCGCTTAAGTGAGAGGAGTCATGGTAGGGTACGAAAAATAATATGGTAAAAGTAATTAAACTAATTTGGATTGTGGTATCTGGACTACAAAAGGCAAGGTTTTGGAGAGCTCTTAGAATTAGATGTTTTGTTAATAGAAGATTAAAAAAATTACTAGTTCCATTTGGGGCATTGAGTCATACCTTTAAAACTTCATAATTAACTTCCCCAAACAATAGAAAATACTAATTTTCTACAGGGAAATGTCTAGAAGAACTTTTTCGTGCTCCAAGATCCCTGTTGATTCATGTAAATGCCCATCATGGCATACTGTTCACTATACATGTATTGCAGGACAAAGCTGCGAAATAGCATCAGAATACAATTTCTCTGTGTTTTGGGATCTTTTTGTCAGGTTTCAGGACAAAACAATAGAGCTGTCAAAGACAAGTGCAGAAGTAGAGGGTCAGCTCCTGTGAAAATGTTCACAGCTTCAGACATTTATTTTTAAATGGGTAACTTCTTCAAGTCTAAAATTTTACAGATTCAGAAGATGGAACTAACTAACAGGGTTTTATGTTTTTTCAGTTCTCTTTTTCTCCTCATGTTAACTGCTGCAGGTTTCTAGTCTCTGTCTGCAGCTCTCTTTACTACCATTTTCCAAAAACTGTCCACTATTTTGTCTTCTCCTTCATTCTCGTGTTTCCACTACCCTGGGCAAGACTCGCACACCTGCTTTAGTTCCTTAGAGCTGAATGAGAATTTGAGTGTCTGGGTACGTGACAATAACTCTGCACCCCTGCTCCAGTAGCTGCTGACCCATCGAAGGAGCTGAAATGTGCCCACACTTTGATCCTGAGAGTTTCTTAGACACTTAAGCTCAAGTGCTCACACAGAGGCAGAAGTGTCTGAGTCAAAATGATTGAGTATTTGACTTCAACTCCACTGCAATCCAGTCTTGAAATGGATATATATATATATATATATATATATATATATATATATATATATATAAGCACTGGGGCTAGTTTCTTCCAATTAACAAATTGTTTTTTTCCACCTCACTCACTGCTTTCTGAGTTGCTCTGCTGAGGTCCAGTTTCTCTGTTGATTGTACCGAGAATTTCAGCTACGAGTTCTCAAGCTCATCAGCCAAAGCTGGTGTGTGATGCCTGACACCAGCTTCCCATCCTCTAGCAATTGTGCTCCTGTTGGTCCCTTCTCTGTCCTTTGAACTCCTGGGTCTTCTGGTTTTTACATACTCAGTGGTCAGTCTTCATGTAGGGAATGATACCAAACAAAGGGTTAAGAGTTAGTATAGTAGTGCCTATGAAGAATGTTTTTTTTCTAGCACCTGTCTATCCACAGATAATGTAGGTGTTTAACAGAAAAGTGATATTACTATTCTTCACCTAAAAATTAGGTTTGCATAAAATGTTGTTGATTAATCTTAATGAAAAATGATGTCTTTGACAGTTTTCTCTACAGTGGCTTTTTTAGGGTGCATATGAGTGGATGTCTTCAGAGTAATGCTGCTTTGCCTGTTTTTTTCATTCTTATGCTTTACGCATGTGTTTAATTGAAAATAATGAAAGGTCTTCTTAGGTTGAGCTTGTGAGAGTGATTTTCCTTCAGTGGTGTAAATAGCTTGAGAGGAATGTGGTTAGTCCTGTCCCTTTCGCATAGCTCTGTAGGGGCTGGGTAAGTAGGACTCATTGAGGAGGGAGGCTGGAAGCAACACCTGGGAACTCCAGCCAAGTGACCTGCCCTCACATCCCTCCATCAGCTGACTTTCTTACCCCAAGTGATACTGTTATAATGAATGAACAAACTGTTTCTGGTATTTCTTTTTCAACAACCATCCCTTCCTGCTTAGGGTTCTCCGTTTCTCTTCTACCTAGGGAAAGAAGATCTGGGAATTTGTGTGCCAGAGGCTATTGCAGGGGAAGGATCTCGCGGTGAGAGAGACTTAGAATTTCAGGTGATTTTAAATAAGAATCCGAAGCCGAAGAAATATCCCCACTCTGCTTTGGAATTCTCTGTGATGAAAGAAACCAGCCAGGGCAGTATCCAGAGTCTAAACAAAAAGAGAGTTTAAAAATACATTGAGGATGGACGGGGCAAACGCTCCACTTGTAAACATCGATGCCGTGTGATGAGACCATTAGGATAGTCCTGCCAAGCTCAGTGGGGGTACCTGTACAGTGCTCCGCACCAACTGTTTGCGGCAAGGATAAGTATGTAAGACAGTTCAGTGGCAAATCTGAGTGCGTTCTGTAGCACTGTGTCATTGGCAGGAGCACGCAACCCACCATCTGCTGTGTAGCTCGTGCCCGTCCAGCTCGCAGCAGCTGCCGGATTCCAGGCGCCCAGCACTGCGGCCACCCAAGGGCAATGAACACTATTTGGTGCTTGGCTTGGCTGAGGACTATAAAATTGTCTAGGCTAAGTTGCTGCTGGTGCAGCTATGGGCTGTGGTCACCTCAGAGCCTGGGTTGCTGGGTTCTCCTAGCAGCAACTGTTTCCCACCCCCGTCTGACATCAAAACTGCAGCACAACCCAGATGGTGCACAGAAGGTACCAACCCAAGGAGCTCAAATGTTGCTGACAACCCTGCTGACATGCCTGTACAGCATCCGATTTCCTTACAGAGGCACCCATGGCCCTTTCAGCTGGAGTTTTCAGGACTGTTTGAACTTTGTGATGATATTCTTTCTTGGGAATTTTCTTTTGAAGCTGTGGGCTCTCAGCAGAGCATTTATTGACTTTTGAACAGATGCATGGAGGGAGGTGCTGCCTATGACAAAGCAAGTGTTGCGTCACTGGTTCGTGTAATTGCAATAGTTTCTTGCAAGCTGTTTGCGATTCATAAGAGATAATAAATAACTGAGGAATGATGGTGCCTGATGAAGGAAATAGCTGTTGCAGAGGTGCCCTTTTATTGTCCTGGTTGTGATTAGCTGGTTTCAGAAGGGGAGGTAAAAAATCATTTTTGACACGCCAACAGTGGATACATACAGACCTCACACAGTTTCCCTTCCTCAGTTTTGGTGCATGCTTGACTGTGGGATCAAGGTAACTGCCAAGAGCATTTAACATGTAGACATTGAGGGCTGGTGATAGAAATCAGAAATAAGTGATAGCCTACAAACAGGGCAAAAATGGGCTTTTGTAAGAGTTTGCTTTATGAAAGCACAAAATCCAGTTTTGCTGTATTAATCTTCTCCTCTGACATGACACAATACAGAACGTGAGGCATGCATCATGCTTACCCTTACATAAAAAGCAGAGGGAGGGATTTTCCAAAAATCTATGCTTAGCCCAAGTCTGAACTCATTGAAGTAAACAAGTATTTATCAAGTGTTGTGCAAGTCCCATGACTGAGTACGTTTTAAAATTGTACACCATTCCTGGTAACATCTTACATGCAAAACTAATTTTACTGAAAGTCCAATAAAGAGGATGTTTTACAAATTAAATTTTTGTGTTTATTTGGGAAATCATAGTTCTTTTTTAACAGCTTGCTAAGAAATGTCCTGCAGTGTTAAATAATTAGAAACCTTCATAAAAGTCATAAAAATAATTGGAAGTCTGTGGCAGCCCGTGATAAATTGCTGAAATACCAGGTAACCTGGCCATTTTGGGAGAAAGTGTAGCCCGACGTGATGAGGGTAGCAAACCCATACGGTAATCATGAGAATAATTACACAGGCCTTTGTCCTGATGTTAATCCCCACATCACCCCTGCAAGGTAGGATCTATATTATTGCCTTAATCCTGTTGATTTTCTTAGTCATGTGAATGCCATAGAAATTATAAATCTCAAGGCCCTTTCCTTATATTCAGCAGATTCAGTACCTCGTAATTGTGTAATTTGGCCTAAAGCAACCCCTAGGCAGTGGGTGTTCAAGGGAAGCGTGCAGAGGGGGTTGCGGGGATTAAGAGCAACAAGGGGAAAGTCACCACCTGTTTTCTCCCCTTCCCCTCTTTCTTTTGTCTCTCTCAGGAGAAAAACCCTACAAATGTACCTGGGAAGGCTGCACCTGGAAGTTTGCTCGCTCCGACGAACTGACGAGGCATTACCGCAAGCACACGGGAGTGAAGCCATTCAAGTGTGCAGACTGTGACCGCAGCTTTTCCCGCTCAGATCACTTGGCGCTCCACCGCCGCAGGCACATGCTGGTTTGAGAAACGCTACCTGTTCCAGCTGAGTTTAAGAGCTGGGTCTCTTAACTACCCGGAGTGAATTCAGCAGGGCTGAATCCCCCTCTACAGTGTTAACAGGCAGGGCTTTCCCTGATGTCCGTAACAAAAAATAGCAACAGAAATTAAAAAAAAAAAAAAAATAGCAGGAAAAGAAGTGCCACTCTTCTCCTCGCCATCTGAAGTTAACTCCGTCTGCCCCTCAGCATGGCTACCCCCTGAAAGTGTCATCACAATCACCTGGGAAATAGCAGCCGAAATGCTACAGGAATGGGCATTATTTTACATGCTGCGTCCTTTGACAAAAAATGTTTATAGCTTCTATGTTTTCTCTGATGTCGGACATTTTGTTCCTGAAAAATCACTGCTGATTGGAGGATTAGATATCACAAACCAATGATGATGATGATGATGATGATGATGATGATGAGAGTGAGACCGCTAGACCTTTATTATCCCATCTTTTTCCCTTGTTTTCAATACCATCTGGCCAGTGTCAGAATTACGCCCGAGCTGCGCTACAGACAAGCTGCGTGTGACTAGGCAAGAAGATTCTGCTGGAGAGGTCCTGCTGTCAGAGCTGAAGGGTCGCTTGAGCAGACTTTTGCAATAATGATGGTGGCATTTTAATATTGTACCACAATTTGTCATTATGCCCTAGAGGACGCCAGTCATTTAACCTTTTTCTTTTATCTTTTTTTTTTTCCTTTCTTTTCTTTTGTTGTTGTTGTTGAAGTCTGTAAAATAAACAAGGGGCAGCAGCATTTCTGCTGGAAGTACATTATTAAGTATCTGTATTTTACCATGGACTTATTTAGAACCGTTTTCTGATTTGTATAGAAAGACCTCATCTAAAAGCTACTACCCCATTCTCAATGTGCAGTTTTCTTTCATGCAGGTATCCTCTTCCCCACAACCATTATTTGAACACAAGGAAATAGTCAGATCTTACACTCACTGGTACCAAGTTTAGTGGTGTAGCCATTCATGAAATGGAATTGAATGTACCAAAAAAAAAAACAAAACAGAGAAGAAATGGCTGCATCTCTTGCAGAGAAAAAGCAATAATGAGTAAAATGGCTCTCAAGACAATAATTTACTCACACTGACCTAAGGGGGGGATATGCAGAAATAGCACATACGATCATTTAAGTTAATCTTTCTGATGGTTTCACTGACCTGCTAGGTACCACAATTAAGTACTTTGATTTCCTTAAGCATAATATTTGTGTCTGGAAAGCAAGAAAGATAAAGGAAAGAGCTGATTGTTGAGGAGTCAGTGGATGAACTGTAAGTAGGAAGGAGAAATGTTTCTGCAGTGGTGCTCTGCAAGACATTAGGTTTCTCCCTGGGAGTTAGGGAATAAGATTCTGCCAGCTGTCTAGTATGATATAAATGGCCCTTTATATGGGTACCAGTGGCCGCCTCTTCTGGGATTTTCAATCCAAGCCTTTTCAGATTAAATAAAAGGAAATTCTTGATCATTCCCATACAGCCCTATAATTGTGAACCAATTTGTATTAATTGAATTATGTAGGAAAGAGAGAAACTCTTAGTCATCAGTTGTTCATGCAAACAGAATAGTGTTTTTCTGTTTTCTTTCCTCACAAGGATCTGCCTATTCAGCTAAATTTGACAAAGAGGAGGCTTGGCAAGATTTTTTAAGTGTTGAGATTTTTATAGCTTAGAGATGAAAGATGTATCCATAAAGGTCTTTTGCAATGCATTTAATTATGAATATTCGGTTCCAGGAATTGAGCAGATTAAACTTGTGATGCCACTTGTTCATTTTTAAATGTTTAACCAGTCTGAATTGATTTCTGATTCCTGAAGTAACCGTAGTAATGTTGGGGGGGAGATTCTGAAATCAAGGTAATCTTCAAGAAAAAACAGCACAGAGTGCCAATACAGATACTGAATGAATTACAGTTAATTAAGGATTAATGTGACTGCGATAATACTTTGTAACAGCATTCAAAGGCCCCAGAACTTGTTTGTCTTTAAATATGTTCTTAATATTCCCCAGTACTGGGTACTTTATCAGTGCTCTGAAAGAACTTAAATACTGTTAAAGCTCAGGGTCCCCTCTGCCAAGTGGTCACCAGAGAAACCCAAAGCAAATTATTCACAGCCATTGTGGGAAAAATACTTCTATCAATTCCCGTTAACCAAGCTGGTAATCAACTTCCACCAAATTCAGCAACATTTTAGTATCTGGCTCCACATCAGAAATGAGCAGAGACACTAAGTGTCCATGCAAAGAGGGAAAAGGCTGCGGCTGATCAGGGCTTCTGGGTAGGCCATGAGGCATTGCAGGGCAGCAGAACTGGGTCTCTACCAGCAGAGTTACTGCTGTTGGTTTAAAAAACTGGTTGTCAGTGTTGTGCGTGAGATGGTTCATGGATTACATCTGAAGTCTGTCTTTTACATATTTCAGTGTCATCCCCTCAAATGGATCTGTCATTCTCAGCGTTTAGGGAAAGAAGTCAGATTGAGTAGAAGTCAATTGATAAAATTATTTTCATTTTCAAGAACATTTTACCAACTATTTACTTGAATAGCAGTAATTCAGTTGAAGGCCCAATGGCATACAGAATTCCTTTCAGAATCTGATTTTTTCTTCTCATGGAAAATTAAGTTTATTTGACCAGAAACTCTTAAGGATGTTCTGTTAGCATACAAGAGGAACAGTAAGAGAGATTGTCTCTGATATTATTCACAAAGGCAGGGTGTAATGAAGAGACCAGTGTCCTCTTCAGGCTTCCACTGTCGTCAGTGAAGAGAGAAAAACTCCAGGAGAAACTGAGAGGCCTCAGATTTCAGCATTCAGCTCTGAACTGCCCCAAGGAGGAGCATATGTATCACAGACCCTGGGAAGGCTCATCTCCCAAAAGGCCAAGGTTGGTCTATGTGAATCCCTTGTCTTTCAGCTGGTTGCCCATTACTTTATGCATAGGAAACACTGACACAGAAAGAGGGTCTGTCTTTATTCAGGGAACCCCAAAGTGATACAGGATTAAAGCAGCACTCACGCCAAGGGACACAGGCACATAGCGTGTCACATGTAACAGAATGAAGCCAAAAGGTAAAGGAATGTACACTAAATTTTCTTATTTCACAGGCAGGAGGTATATCCTCTAAGCTTTCCAGCACATGTGTAAGGGCTTTTCGTGCTGCTATTACCTCTAGACAATTTACACAACCAGCAGTAGTCCACCACTGGGTTTCAAGTACCCAGTATGGTTCTTGGCATGTTTCTTATTTGTACCAGCACCTGCAGATTTTGACCCCATATACTCTGTGAGGTTGTTTTCTGGCTTGTTTTCCCCGTCAGAAGTTTTTTAAGAGAAGGTACTCTGTGGGAGGGGGGTGTTTGGATGGGGAGCTGATATCCCCCAGATTCTCAGGGTGTCCTTCCCTCAGTGGCTGTGGTTCAGACCCACCAAACTTCTGTGCTTGTGCAAAGACCAAGGGCGATTGCTCCAGGGTAGTTTCCTCAAAAATCCTGGTATCCCACCAGAGGTCCATGACATTTCATAACCATGGTGAAGGCGTACATCATATGTAATGTGCAGAAATACCAGATCTTGTCTTGACACAACACAGTAGGTCCATCTTAATTGAGCAGTTAAGAGGGACAAATATACAGTGTCCCATTATTTCAGAAAGATAGATTTATGCTTTTAAGTGTGACTGAAGGATGGGTAATATCCACCATGCCCTTTACAGCTTACAAGGGAAACTATGCCCTTGTCAGATTTCATGTGTTTTCATAAGTGTCAGATTTCATACGTTTTCAAAAGGATTCAATGGATTTGTCAGGAAATACCAGAAGCCAACATGATAGGAAAATGTAACGAGCAAGCAGCTTTGATACAGAACTTTTTAAATTTTAAATTGTCATTATTTTTTGAGCACCTGTTTTACTCAGCACTGTAAAATTGGCTCATTGCAACAGCAGTTTATACTTGGGGACGAAGATGCAGTATTCCTTATTCTCTATCATGCTTACACAATTAATTAAATAGATTTAGACTGACTTGTATATATGATTATTTGCTGGAGTAATGTATAACAAAATTAACAGTGTTGAAATTACATCAGTGATATTGATGTCTGGGGTAAACTCACAGTGCAGAGCATGGACAAATAGCTGGACAACCTTTCTCCCCTTTAATAATGGGAATAACAGTGATCATAAGTCTCCTTTTCCATTAGCCACATTGAAAATGTATTCTAGTTGCCATTTATAAATTTTATCTTCTGATAATAAATGCTGTTTAATGGAAAAACTCTCTTTCTCCTTTATTGAAGGTGGGTACCTCAAAATCAGAGTAAGTTTCACGATTAATATCCCACTTATTTTTTAGTTTGAACTGTGACTTGGAAAGGTCAGTCTGTGAAACTGCATCTTCCACAGCAGACAAGTCTTAAGATCGTTCAGTAAATCCACCCTACTCCCGCATGCTCATCCATACACTCATGCATATAAATCCCAGCACTTCCATGTGCTTCCACCCATGTGCATGTAATAAACGAGTTTATTTAAAAAAAAAAAAAAACAGAAAAGGAAGAATTGGAGAAACGCTAAAAGAAAATACTACCTTCTTAAGAAACCAGCTCATGTTACTGTATTATGCCTTGCCTGTGATTTATAACTGGAGAACTGCACAAAGAACTTTAAAGATTGTAATATTTTCACAGTTCCGCAGTAGCGTAACAGTTGCTGTGTAAAGTGTGCTTATGAAGTCACGCCTATTGGTATCTTGAAAATGCTTAAATTCTGATCAATTTCCACAGTAAATCAGGTTTTAGTACAAAAAATGTAATTATAAGGATACTGCATCTTTAGAAATCAAAATACCTTGAAAGTATTTTACTATACTTGTAACAGTTTAAATATTCTGTAATATATGTGATAGTTGAAAAGTATTTTCAAACTCACAATTTTACATGGGGTGTAAATAGGTTAAATGAAATGCATTTTTAAAAATTCTTTAGTTTTCATCAGGAAAACTAGTAAGATAATGCCTTGCAAAGCTTAAACACAAAACATAAGTAAATTGTTCTGTTTTGCCAGAGCATGTTTTCTCTGCAAAATGGAGTGGCCACTTCTTTGCTGTTTCACAGATGGCGTGCAATATAGTGAAGTCATACTGAGTCCTTCAGTGTCGAATAAGTCAACGCTCAGAATGTCTTTGACTGAATAAAGGAAAAAAACACTTAATCGAAATGAAAACCATATGAAAGGTTTTGGGGGTTTTGTGTGTTTTTTTTTTCCTTCTGGCATTTTACAGTGAACTGCAGATACAATAATAGTAAACTCTCATTTGATTTTATTTCTTCTTGTATTTCCCTGACTACAGTGCATCCTGAGTAAAGGTTGCAGAACTGAAATAAGCAGCTGCTCTTTGCTGATTCCAGGGGAGTTTAGTCTTCTAGGTGCAGTAGTATGTCAACAAAATCAACTGTAGCGGGACAGTTGTGACATTCAAAATGCATATACACTTCAGCAAGATAGCCTCAAATCTATTCTAAAAGGTGTAACAGAAACTGAAAGTGCCTGTAATTAGAACTGATGGGATGTTCCTATACTTTTACACAGCAATAACTTACGGAATTCTGTTAACAATAAGGTGAAAATGAAATTTTACTCGGAGAACAATAATGCAGCACAGAAACAAACACAAAGTGCCATTTGTATTTTCACATGTTGAGATATTGTGTTAAAGGTTTTAGTTATTTTCTCAGATAACATCTGTCATACACTTGTAAGAAGAAAATGAATCTTGGTTTACAAATGACTCATATCCATATCAATTCTCAGTAGATGTGAATGGAAGTCATTGTCAAGCAGTATTTTAGGGGATTTCTTCCTAATTTGTGTCTGATGTGCCCATGTATCCAGGGTATTCTCTAGTGAAATAATCCAAAAACCAGCAATAAGCCCAGTGGAGTCTTTTTTAGGATATATGGTATAATGGGGGTTCTCTTAAAAAATCCTCTGCATTGAACTTTGAAAACACGGAGTTCACCTTATGTCTTCTTTCTATTCGTCATGTAATGCTCATAGTATTTAATATCATCTTAGAACTGGTTGACTTCAGGAGTGGACAAAATATATCTCTTTTCTTTCTTTTGGGGACAAGTAATTGAGAAATTGGGGACTGTCAGTCTAGAGACTATTTGAATAGCAAACAAGAAGTCAGTATTCCTAAAATGGAGTAAGGAGATTTTTATATTGAGTGGCCTAATCATTTGCATCAATAGACTAATTGATTTTACAAGAAAATGGCCAGGTGTGACTCTCCCACTCTTTTTTTTTTTTTTTTTTCTTGCAATTATTTTTGTGTTTTAAATCTGGTAGGTTTCTGTAATAAGAAAAAAAAATATATTACTAACTGCTGCTAATGGATTCTTAAAAGCAGTGTAATGCCATCCCTCATGCTTCTTCTGTTTCTAAAAATGAATTTATTGGAGATCAAAATGTAACTGGTCATCCTAATACCTTTGCCAAGGAAGATTGCTTTCCATCCTCTAAATTTGTACCTGTCACCTATCCAGACAGAATTTTGTATTTGAAAAATTCTGCATTTTGCCTGGGCTTTTGCTGCCATCAGTGGGTTGCTGCTGGAATGGGAAGATGGGCATTTAGTTTGTATTCACTGAGGCAGGATTGGGTGTGCACAAAGATGCTCATATACAGAAGAAAATGCAGGTGCAAAAAAAAAAAAAAAAAAAAAAAAACCCACAAAAGCACAAAAGCACGTGGACTCGCATGTGAAAACTAGAATTTATCCACATCATTTAAACATGTGACAAGACCACTAGTTTAGTAACAACTTATTTTTGAATGTTAGCCACCAGTGGAAATAATCCTATCAGAACATGCATATACTTATTCTGTCATCTTGAGCTTAATCTCCAGATATGAAGCTTATGAAGGAACACAAATTATCCTGGGGGTTTTAGGAAGGCACCAGAAAATGTGTCATCAGAAGGACAGAGGAAACACTGGTTTCTTACCTCCTAACTCAGTGTTGGGAGGTTTGGCTGACTCCAGCCCTACATGTGTTAGTTCTTGCGTAGGAAAGGGCACCTTGTCTTCACCATTCCAAAATGAACCAGGATTTTTTTCCTTCATTCTGGAAAACAGACACAGAGTTGGTGGTTTGTTTGTTTTTGTTTTTGTTTTTGTTTTTTTTCCCTCAATTTTACTGTTTTGCCAGCATACTTCTATAGCGGCTTATTCTTGCTGACTTTAAATTATGAAATAAACTCAGTTACCCTTGTAATTTTTGGATTATTCAGTACACAGTTATTCAGTCCTTCAGACAAGCAGAACTGGGCATGTGAATTTTAGCTATTACGAAAATAAGAATAGAAAAAATTATCTGAGGTCCTGTTGTTCACGTGTGTGACCTGCGACATCTTCCCCCATTCAGTCTCAAAGGTTTCAGTGAACCAAGATGCTGCCAGTCATAAAAGAGGAGGTGGATGGTGTTTCACATATTGACTTGCTAAACCTTGCTCCATGATGTGACCTCTGCATTTAAAAAACAATAGTTCAGTATCTGTTAGGGGACCACAGGTGATAGCTTTGATGGATTGCCATAAGCGTGAACCGTGAAATACAGAAATAGGTTCAGATACTGCTTTTCTCCCTGTCCCTGCCTTTCTAGACGTACAGAGCTTCTTTAGAAAGACAGATAGAGACATAATCTTCACTGCTGAACTAATCTTTCTCACAATTCAGAGTTCGTGTTGTCATTTCTGGTTTCAGATTATTTTTCACTGCTACATTTGCATCTTATTTTTCATTAAAAATCCCCACAGTTTATTTCTTTCCTTGTCGTCCTATACATAGCTTTCTTGGTAATGTAAGTTCTCCACTGAACACCTACGCAGTATGCTCTCTTGACCTGCTGTCTGTCCCTAAAAAGTTATTATCGCCCATTTGCACTTGCAATAGAATATGCACAGAGACAGTAATGAATTACTTAAGTTCCATGCACCATCAGCTTTAAGACCTTCAACCCACACACACAGACACACACATTAATACACTTCAAGTGAAAGAGAGATTTGGACACTGCTATCAACATGTGGGGTCAAAAATACCATTAAATTGGAAAGTTCTTTCAGCTGTGTTCAGGAAGAATCAACAATCATGAAAAATATCATTCTTGGCCAAGTCACTTATGGAAGAAGCAAATTCCCCTATGGCATTAGTTGAATGAAATCCTAAGGATGGGGGTGCATTTGGCCCCAAATTGTTCCTTCTGATCAGGTCGTTATTGTTGTATGTACCAATGAGTGTTCATTTGATCCTCCTGTGTAAAAATACAAAAACATCCCTTAGTTTACAAAGTGATTAATTTGGGACTGAAGCTTCACAGCAATGGAATTAGTATGTACGGCACCTCAATCTTTTTCCTAGATAAGATGCAAAAGGGAGGGTCATTATCAGTAACCCCATAGAGATAATAGTGTCAATAGAGGTCCTACACTTAAAAGGAATAAAAATACCAGCGCTAGCAAGCAAACACACTAGTTTCTTAAGTCTTTCTTTTGCCTTCTTTTCAAAAGCTTTTAAATGCAAAAATTTTTCTTCAAAAATAAAAGCAAACATCTGAAGATCTAATTTCCCAATAGTTTCCTCTGCATTTATATACTATGTAGTGTTTAGGCAACACCTATGCTATAAGTTTATTAATATTATGTAAGTGTTGTTCTTGTATTTATGTATAGTGTATGTATTGTAAATATACTCAGAGCTTTTTTTCCTCTTACTGTAAAATGGTGATTTTTGCCCTATGATAATGTAAAGGGAGTCCCCTAATGAAATTCTGTCAGAGGATGATTATTCCACTCTATTCTCAAAGATTTAAATGAGCAAGTGTTATCGTTTTTAATGGTGTCTCAGACATATTTTGTTGGTGCATTGCTTTTCTGTATTCAACTTTCCTATGAATTGAGCTGTGAATTGAAATAGAGTTTAAACCTTTAAATGTATGCATTTGTATAATTATCTGAATGGAGGCATGAAGGTTAAATAAAGCATTTTGTATGGAACAAATCCCCTAATTATTACTGTGGATGACTCAAACCTTCTGGAATACCCAGTTATTAACTTTTTTAAATTAAACCTTTGTTAAAAAATCTTTTCTATAAACATATAGTGATTTTTTTAATGGAATGTTTGCATAAGAAATGGATTTTACTTGCTTTTCTGATTTTTTAAAAGCCATCATATAGAGTAGACATTCTTTCTTCTTTCCCAGTGTTTGTGCATCTGTGGCAAAGCTGGAACAAATAAAATAGCACTCAGCAGTATAAACAAAAATGTCCTGGGATGATATAAAAATATTTTGTATTACTATATATTCTGAGTTCCCTAAGTACTTTAAAATGGAGTTGTGCGTCTGCCTCTCTCTGCTTCCTTCCTCTCCTTTCTCTGCGAGGAGGGCAGCTGGCAGGGCTCACGTGCAGCGTGCCGAAGGGAATTCGTTCGTGCAGCCGAGGGGATTCCTTCGCTCTGCGCCCGCGAAGTGAAGGAACGGCTACAGAAGGAGGGCGATGGCAACGCAGGGAAACATCGGCTTCACCCTTAGTTGAAAGGGGTTGTTGTTTGTGATTGCTCCCAGGGCCATTTTGAGGCCTGTGGGCTTCTCCCTCGCGTCTGACCGTTCCACAAAGAAGCTTCCTTTATGTTTGAGTCAGTCTAGGACAACTGGATATCAAGTCTGAGGCTTGGAGCTGCATTTTGCCCTTACTGGGGAAATTTCTCCTTAAATGTGAATTTTCCCTTTCCCTTGCATTTCCATCCACTTGCTTTTAACTGATGTTATCATTTAGCTAATGAAAACCATAGTGTTACATGGTTACAGGCAGAGAAAGAAGCAAAGTCATTTGATTTGGAGACCTCTGAGCCTCATCAAGAGATGTGTCTAAACCAAAGCAGTGCTAGAACAGGTCTTGAATCTCTCAGACTGCTGATGAAGTTAAAAATCAGATAGATTTACCGACCCTTCCAAAGCACTTTTGCTTTCTACACAATAAGTTGTTTGTTCTTCCTCAATGTCCTGCACGTTTAATAATTTTTCTCCCAACAGTGCCATAAGTATAAAACGCATCGCTGCCTGTTTAGTCTGACTTCTCCAGCGAACGCCCACACCGTCCACTGCCCTGATCCATGGCCTGTTCCTGAAAAGTTATTTCTTCCATTTGCACAAACAACAGCTCAATTGTCATCTAATCCCTCCCCCACCGTTTTTCCCCTTTGTTAATGAACAGGCCGTTTGGAGTGAAAAGTTGGCACGTGGTGTTTCGTATGCCGTACGGGACATGTCTGGCTCCCTGCGAGCGTGACGAGGAGCGGCCGCTGGTAGCCACCTTCAACTTTGCACGTTAAGTTACTGGATCAGATATGCACGGTGTCATTCCCCCCGCCCTCTACGTGCAGAAAACAATCACATCATCGCCGTCCTTGAACCTGGGGAGCCTGCCCGCCTCCCAGACGGCGCTCTGGCAGCGCAGACTTTCACCCATGGCTTTATGATGCTATTCCTCCTTGCCAGCCTGCCAAAGGGAAGCACACCCGTATGGGAGGTTTGGCTGGAGCAGCTGCCGGCTGTACTCCAGCCTGTTGCACTGTCACCTGGTGGCACGAGGTTTTGGTTGGGAGTTGAAAGGACCGGGCTAGGGGAGCCAGATTTTCATGGTTGCTGAATATTTGTCCTTTCCAAAGAGGAGTCAGCCCCGTGAGGCAGACCGCTCCTGGACATAATCCATCTTTTCAGCAGTGCCTGTGGTACACACTGTGGAAACGTGTCCCTTACCAACCCTCCCATCCTTGCAAATTAGGCAAAGTTATACCCTTTTAATAGACAAAGAGCCAAAGGCAATCAACTGAAGCTGGAATGACTCAGTAGTTGAGCAAGAAATTACAGAATCACAGAATGGTTGAGGTTGGAAGGGACCTCTGGAGATCCAACCTGCTCAAACAGGGACACCCAGGACCAGTTGCCCAGGATCATGCCCAGACAGCTTTTGAATATCTCCACGGATGGAGACTCCACAGCCTCTCTGGGCAACTTGTGTCAGGGCTCAGTCACCCCCACAGTAAAAAGTGCTTCCTTGCATTCAGAATAGTACCGAACAATTTCAGTTCCCTACTCTCTTGCTTTAGCCATTAAGCAGAATGATCTCCCTGGTCATGGTTTCAACCCAGTCCATAACTGGCCAGGGATTTTTCACCCATGGGTATTTTCCCTGAGAGGACCCGAATAGCAGCAGTAGCCACTACCCTTCCTGTTGAAGCATACTAACGAAGGCATTTACTGCCTCACATATTTGTCTTACCAAAAATATATAGCCCATAATAACTAGGACTGCCACTTACAGAGGAATGAATAACCAGATTTAGCCAGTAAGCTCAAACATGTCAATATATTTTATCCTTCGTGTTTTTGTTTATATCTTTGCACAACCTTGCTCACAGGTGTACTGTGCCCTTTCCTGGTTATCTTTCTCATTTGCTGGAGATATTGATCTATAAAATCTTCTTGTAAAAAATTTCAAAGAAATTCTTTTTTTTTTCCTGGAGTGACTTTCTCTACACCTGTAATTTTGGGCCTATATAGAATATTAACAGACAGAAACTAACAATAAAGTCCAGAAACAGCTACAAAAGCAAACAGTGAAACCATGACACTTGCAAAGCTCTATAAATCTCTGCTGAGCTCGAGTTGCTGTTTAATCTTTATATACGGGTACGTCTCAAGGTTATCTGCTCCTGAAGGGTTCACTGGAGGCTTTTGTGATTTGTCATCCGCTCAGTTCCTTATCAGTCAAAGGTATTTCCCCTTGTAACATTCATTATGGGCTCCCCTCTGTGTTTCTTACTAGTGCGATGCCATGAAGAGGCTCTGGTATGCAGTCTGTAAGGAGCTATTAAATGTCCCTCTCCTGTGATCAACAGGATCGTAAATGTGACACATATGGCGTAGCGTACGCGGTAGTGCTGATGGCTGAACGCCGTCACTGGGTACTGAGTGAAAACAAGGAAGCCTGCAGATCTGGAAAGGAGTTTTCTGTCTCCATCCAGCAGTCTCTGGCTGGAAAAGAAGTATACTGAAATACCATCATTAAATACATCATGTATGTAGAAAAGAAACTACTGCAAATTTTGTAAATATAATAACCAGTGTAGCACCTTAATTAACACACTGGGTCAGATTCTGAGGGGGAAAAATCTCAGCCCTTTCCCACCAGGATGATCATGGCCATCCTGCCATGCCATTTCATTTCAGCAGAGGGGAATCCGGCCCTGGCTGATGCAACCACGCATCGCCATGTCCGAGGAGCCGGCGGGCTTGGGAGAGGAGCACACCGAAATTGCTTCATCGCCAGGATGGCACGGAGCCCATCTGCGTGTGGCCGAGGCTGGGACAGCAGGGGATTTCCTGGGAAACGGCTTCCTCTCCTGCCTCCGCAGCCTGGTGGAAACGTGTCAGAGCCGCCAGAAGAGAGGGCTGGCTGCTGCGGGAAGCAGGATGCAACTGTTCCCCAGCTATCGCTTTATCCAGCAGATAAAGCTGCTTTAATTCCTCATTTGTTCTGAAATACTGGCTATGTCTACATTGACGTCAGAGGTCTGACTGGTAGCACGTATAGACATGCAAGTACAGATATATGTATCTGCTTAGTACGTACATATACATAGATATATATTTATATGCACATACACACACACACATGTGCATGCACTGTATGTATATATGCATGTATGTACTGACTAGCTCCTTCTAAAGGTAGTTGGGGTATTTCCACGAATTCATGCCTGCAGGCACCAGGAGCATTACTGGGAATATCTTAGGAGCCAGGTGTCCACATAGCTATGAAAAAGCTGCATAGCAGTTTTGAAGTCTTTTAAGATATTAGAACCGAAAGGCCTCTACGCCTGTCCCCCACACCTGACCTGGTGCCTCAAGGGGTGCCCCAAAACCCCAGGTGCCCCCCCCCAGACCTGACCTCTTCTCATCTCCCCCACAGGCAACATGGGTTCGGCCTGAGCCCCTACTGCAAAGCGTATCTGGTAGGGCACAGGCTGGTCCCCCCCCAGGTGGGGCCCAAGGTCACCCAGCCAGCCCGGGGTCCTGCCCACAGCACCGCCACCACAGCAGCCAGGCGTGGGCAGAGGCAGACAAGGAGGACGCAGAGCCCCAGGGGACAGCAGGGACACGAATCAGAGGTTTCAGCCTCGGCTGTACTAGGGGGCTCGTCTCGCATTCAGGCTGGCCGATGGGTTTGCAGGTAAGTGATGTGAGTGGGAAACTGGGGGCTGCTCCTCAGGTGCCTCCTCTCTCCTCCAGCAAGCGGAGGTCTGGTACATCCCTGCGTCCAGGGGGAGTTACAGCGTGGGGGAAGGAGCTTCGTGGAAATCGAAAACCTGGGATTAGCTGGAATGAAACTGATCTCTGTACGCACAAATTAGCAACATGGCTGTTTCAGTCAGCTGGTGAAGTATGCAATATGTTTCTGAGGTATTTTATAAAAAATTAGAAAAGGATGGCAGAGGGTTTCTGCAAAGCTTTTTGGTTCTGATTATTCATTTATTTACAAATGATCATTTATACCATCTGGGGCTTTTCAGTGAAACTGAGAGTAAACTCTGAGCTTCCCAGGACTCTACAAATGTGCCAAGAAGGGAAGACTGCAAAGGCTTTCAGAGCAAATAAAACAAAGGCAGAAAAGTGGCTCGTTGTGATGAGGCGGGGGGAGGAGAAGGTGGGGATGGGGCCCTTTTCCTTCCTCAGCCTTGCTTTGTTTCCCGTTTTGTTTGACATTTCTAATCAAAGCCTCAGCACCTTTGCTTTAGTTATAATAACTTTGCTGTAGTTATTACATGAGCCTCCACAGATGTACACACAACCCAAGTTTCTAGCCTCCGGCACTGACCACTCCCCAGACAAGATGCTTGTTCCTGTACCACGGTACGTGTGATTCTGCAAGTTTCATTTATCACAAAGCAACAGTACAGACACAAGAAAAGTACAGCGGGAGCCAGGGGCTCAA